AAAAAAAAAAAAAAAAAAAGGAAAAAAAAAAAAAAACTGTTGTCATGTACTTGTTGCTATTGCTCAACTCCGACCAAGAAGCTACGCTGGAGTAGTTCGATGGTGTGCATTTCCGTCCTCCTTATCAGTAAAATTTCCCCAATCTAGATACTATATTGAGGATGTTCATTATCCTTGTAGGCGAGTTCAATTACAACTTTTGGACTTCGATGGTCTCATTGATCCTAGCCATTTCTTGTAATGCTACTACAAGCAAATCATTCAAAGTAATTATTAGAAAATATTTTTCTCAACTCGTTTTCAATTAAATGTCCCTTCAAAGAAATCATTTTTTTAAATATCCTCGTAACTTTTACTTACTTTTCCGCCACACATTCCCAAAAAAAAATTAATTTTCAAATAATCACTTTCACACGAGCATCGAAACGAAAGGAGTTTCTAAGTACTATTGGACACACCACCTTTTTACCAACTTGCAACATGATTCCATAAATGCCACTGCAACACCAAAATTCGAAATCCCAATCCATGTCCTATAACTATATCACGTGGTTCCTACACTTCATAAAGGAATCTGAGGGGACCTTGTTCAATATCTGTTGTAAACTTTTTCTCGCTTTACAGTAAAAATCTACCATGATTCCTGTATATAGAAGCCAGGCATCGCTTTCTTATTTTTTTTTATTATTATTACTCTCAAGAGTTAGGGATTTGAGCTTAATCCATAATCCAAATGTTTTAACAATTGCGGGACAACAGTGGATACGGAAACTACAGTCAACAAAGATTTGAACGTTGAGATTACCTTGGATGCCTAGGTTGTCTCCCTAACATCAGGGTCGACCGTGAATACTTGGAGGGCTAGCGAGGCAAGGAAGTATCACAAAGAACAATTGTGAATTGTCTATGCACTTCCCACCACTCATGCATTTTCGTCCCATTGCAAGCTTCATCGCGCTCCAAGCCTCCAACGAACTAAAAGCATTGATTCAATAGCCCTCCGGTACTCACAAACCAAAGTTAGTCCAATTATTGAAATAGATAATCCTGATCATGTTCGATAAGGTGGATTGAACAATATTAGACAATATTATTTTGGATTTTTTAATTAATTGGCTATTCTTGACAAAATTAAAGTACTCGATAAGTTTTAAAAATCTAGAAGCCGTTTGGGTAGAATTATAGGTCAACAAGGAATCCTAGAGATCAAAGATGAAACAAGGAGAAAAAAATAGCCGCAATGTCGCTAGATTGCCACGGGGCTAGTGCTCGAGCGTTATGAAGCAAAAATGAGCAATAACATCGGTGCTTAGCGGCAGAGTTGCTGCAAGCTTGGCGCTCGAGCGGTGATTTTAATTAGCAAAACCCTAGTTCGTGATTTTGAACTGATTTCTAATCCTATACAACACCAAACTCTCGAATCTATATATACCCAAGCCTTAGTTTGAGTTTGTTATTGGTTGATCATTCTTATACAAGAAAGAACACAATGAAAACATCCTACATCGATTCTATCAATTCTCTTAATTCAACCAAACCATTGAAAATATCAAAACCCATTTAATCAAACCACCCACTTTTGTATAATTTGTTAGAGTTCTGAAAATTCTGGAAGGTGACAAAATTTTTGGTTGGAGAAGAACGAGTTCATTCTTGGAGATCCATGGAAGATAAGTGAATCTAGTGTTTTGGAACTGGTGCTAGAGCATGGAGTCCAAAGAGTTCCTTGGTGTTGTAGATAAGTGGTCAAAAAGTACTAAAATTTAGTTGAGTCTAAACAGTCTATAAGTTTTTATCGTTTATAGTGGATACATTGGCTTGAGTCCGAAATTTTTGATCTCGCAAGGGATTTCTTCCGTCATTAATTTTGTGGTGTTATTCAGATTTCTGCAATATATCAATCGCAGTAATTCAACTTAGGATACTATTGCATGTGAATTCATCTGAATATAATTAATAATTGTGACTTGTTGCTTTTATTAATTGGTAAATTTAAATTTCGCGTAAAATACTTATTCACTCTCTCTAGGTGTTAGTTGGGTCAAACGTCATTATTTTCAGTTATAAAGAAAGTTAAAATCTCGCCTACAATACTGTTGAATACTGTATCTCAAACATACTTTAAACGATTACATCTCAATATTATGTTTACTGTGTTTTCTATTCTGCTACTAATGTTATTGTTAGAATTTGGATGTGATATGAATATTTTGTTGGAGATAATTGAGAATTCTAATTAAAGTACATATTAAGAAGAATTTTCTTTGGAATGCTACTCAAGTTTAACAAATTCTAGTTGAAGTTCTACTTGAAAGTTTAATTGGGAGTTGAAATTTATGTTGGATTTAAAGAAGACTTTGGGATGAAGAAAAATATCTTTGGAAAGTGTTTGGGACGGAGACGGGATGCCTAGGCACCGACAGCTGCATATTGAAACGGCGAGCCGACGTTGCAGCAACCTTGGGCTATTTTGTCTCCTATCATATTTTTAATGTTGTTTCTTGCATTCTACTTCAACTACAACTCTGTTATTAGGGATTGGGCGTCCCTTATTTTTTTATATATATAGTTGGTTCTTCATTATGATTTAATAGAAGTTAGAAATATTGTAAACAAAAATCTTTGTATTCTTTTTCTATATTATAAGAAAATCTCAATTCTTTACAGATTATTTTGTTCATGTGTTATTGTAATCAATTACTTCATATTGTGGCTATAATATCTTATTTTCTCCAACAATTTGGTACTGAATTAATCCAGTATCATCTTTGTCTCACAACAAAATGGTATTAGAGATTTTGTTTTTGAAATTCTTAGAAAGATCGAGATTTTGATCAACTTAATAACTTAACTTGATCTTTCGTAACAACAACAATTACGTAGATATTCCGATATTGAATCACAATACAAGATTATCTTTGTGTCACGTAAATATGTGAGCAGTATTCGCTCAGATGGATTTGAATGACGCGTTGTTGGAATTTTACGAGATGCCCACAACTTGGACTCAGGAGGAGAAACAATGGAGGGATCAAAATACCCTATCTCAAGTAAATCTTCATCTTTTAAATAATATTCTTCATGACGTTTTGAAAGAGAAACCAGTCCATGCATTATGGTTAAAATTGGAACAATTATGTGACAAAGAGTCTTACTTGTAAATTGCATTTGAAGCAACACCTATATTCTCATTGTATAACAGAATGCACTTTTCTTGAGGATGACCTAGCTTCATTTAAGGAAATCATCGTCGATTTGAAGACCTCGGATGTCAAATCTGATGAAGAAGATGTGAGATTGATTTAATTGTGTTCATTGTCAACTTCATACATCTTTTAGAGATACGATTTTATATAGTTTTGATGTTCTCATCATCGAAGAAGTCTATGATGTTATATATTCGAATGAGAAAATGAAGTATCTTATTGCATCTAAGGGTCATGGAGATGGCCTCATTGTCGATAGTGGTCATTCAAGGTGTAAGTCTAAATCTAACTTTAAATTTTGTAATTATTGTAAGAAAAATGAGCACATGATAACAGATTGTTATAAGTTGTAGGATAAATCAAAATTTACTACAAAATCAACAATCAGAAACTTTAGGAGAAGCAAATATTGTAGAAAATCCTAATAGTGATGAAAAACTTTTACTTATGTATATGGATGGCAAAAAAGCTCACTAGTTCGAGGTGCTCGGGCTCGGTGGAACCAAGCCTAGGCTCGGGTCAGCCCCATTTTGGGGGGTCGACTTGAGCTGGGCTTGCCCGTAATTAATAAAAAAAAATTTAAAAGCCGCCTACAGGCAGCTATCTAGTTGCTAGATAAGTAGGCAGCTAAGAAAGAAAAAAAAAATAAAAAAAAATAAAAAATCAAGCCGGCTCGACTCGCTAAGGCTTAGGCCAAAGCGAGC